GAACTGCCTGATCCCAGGAGGCAGAGGTTGCGGTGAGCTGAGATCGCGCCATTGCACTCCAGCCTAGGTAACAAGAGCGAAACTCCGTCTCAAAAAAAAAGAAGTGTTGGAAGAGTCAGTAGTTATACTGGGGTGGTGAGGGGGAGGGGGCGCAGTGGCTCAGGCCTCTAATCCCAGCACTCTGGGAGGCTGGGGTGGGAAATTGCTTACAGGCAGGAATTGGAGGCCAGCTGGTCAACATAGTGAGACTCCATCTCTACCAAAAATTAAAAATTAGCCAGGCGTGGTGGTTCGTGCCTGTGGTCTCAGATACTCAGGAGGCCAGGGTGGGAGGATCACCTGAGCCTGGGAGGCCAAGGCCATAGTGAGCTGTGATTGTGCCACTGCTCTCCAGCCTAGGTGACACAGTGAGAGCCTGTCCCAAAATAAATAAGTGAATTAAAAAACTGAAGATAAAAAGAAAAAAGAAGGTTTTCAAGATGAAGCTGAACATCTCCTTCCCAGCCACTGGCTGCCAGAAACTCATTGAAGTGGACGATGAACGCAGACTTCGTACTTTTTATGAGAAGCGTATGGCGACAGAAGTTGCCGCTGACGCTGTGGGTGAAGAATGGAAGGGTTATGTGGTCCGAATCAGTGGTGGGAATGACAAACAAGGTTTCCCCATGAAGCAGGTGTCCTGACCCATGGCCGTGTCCGCCTGCTACTGAGTAAGGGGCACCCCTGTTACAGACCAAGGAGAACTGGAGAAAGAAAGAGAAAATCAGTTCGTGGTTGCATTGTGGATGCTAATCTGAGCGTTCTCAACTTGGTTATTGTAAAAAAAGGAGAGAAGGATATTCCTGGACTCACTGATACCACCGTGCCTCGTCGCCTGGGGCCCAAAAGAGCTAGCAGAATCCGCAAACTTTTCAATCTCTCTAAAGAAGATGACGTCCGCCAATATGTTGTAAGAAAGCCCTTAAACAAAGAAGGTAAGAAACCTAGGACCAAAGCACCCAGGATCAGCGTCTTGTTACTCCACGTGTCCTGCAGCACAGACGGCGGCGGATTGCTCTGAAGAAGCAGCGTACTAAGAAAAACAAGGAAGAGGCCGCAGAATATGCTAAACTTTTGGCCAAGAGAATGAAGGAGGCTAAAGAGAAGCGCCAGGAACAAATTGCGAAGAGACGCAGACTTTCGTCTCTGCGAGCTTCTACTTCTAAGTCTGAATCCAGTCAGAAATAAGATTTTTTGAGTAACAAATAAGTAAGATCAGACTCAAAAAAAAAAAAGAAAAAAAAATTATACTTGGATTTTTGACTGCCTGGGGGTCAGCTCCCCAGTCCCCGTGTTGTCTCAGGGTTAACTGTATTTGGAAATAGCATCTCCAGATAAGACTGTCCTGGATTAGGGTGAGCCTTTCTCTTTAATCGTAAGAGAAAGGAGAGCCAAACCCGGCCCAGTGGCTCAGGCCTGTAATCCCAGCACTTTGGGAGGCTGAGGCGGGTGGATCCCCTGAGGTCAGGAGTTTGAGACCAGCCTGGCCAACATGGTAAAACCCCATCGCTACTAAAAATACAAAGATTGGCCAGGTATGGTGATGTCACCCCAGCTACTTGGGAGGCTGAGACGGGAGAATCACTTGAATCCGGGAGGCGGAGGTTGCAGTGAGCCGAGACCGCACCATTGTACATTGTACTGCAGCCTGGGTGACAGAGACTCCATCTCAAAAAAAAAAGAGGGAGACTGGAGACAGGTGAGAGGCGGAGGAGGCCCTGTGACATGCAGCAGAGGCGGGAGCAAAGCTGCCACAAGCCAAGGAGCACTGGAGCCCCAGGAGCCAGGAGAGAGGTGAGGACGAGCCCCTGCTCAGACTCTCCAGGAAGAATCGTTCCTGCCTGCACCCTGATCTGGGACTTCAGCCTTGTGAACTGTGTGAGGTCAACTGTTGTCTGAAGCCTCCTGGCGCACAGTAATTGGCAGCCTTGGGACACTGAGGCCAGGCTGTCACGATGGATGCTTGGATGTGCTGAGACTTGAGAGGGGGTCCATGCTCCATTTGGGGGGCTTGGGGAACCCCCAGTGGCACTTGTTTTGGCTGCTGCCTGGGAGGCTCAGGGCCAGGAGAGACACAGGACGGCCGGGGTCTGAGCAGTGTTTCTTGACCCTCTGCCATGTCCCTGTCAGCCCTCTGCCGGGGTCAGCCCATGGCCTCCATCCTGAGACACCTCCATGATGTGCGGCAGGGTCATGAGGGCACCTGTCCTCAGCCTTCATCCCATCTGACTCTAGGACCCTGGCACTGCTCGGATGGTGGGTTCAAACCTGAGCATGAGAGGGTTTGAGATCCAGCGTGAGGCTGGCGATCTGGAAGGAGCCAGGGCTGCAGCTGGCAGATGGGAAGTGAGGCCAGACAGGTAACTTCCTGAGGGTCCATGGTGGCCACACGCAGCCCTGGCACCGGCCACAGCAGCAACCATTGGGCACAGGGGCCCACTGTCTGCTGCGTCAGGACCCAAAAGGGCAGACACATTTGAAAGTAAAGGCATTTGAGACGTGATCTATGCAGTGAAACAAACCAGAGGACGGGAGAGAGAGCCAGGCAGTTCCGTGAGCTCGGCGGTAGTGAGGCTGTTTTCTTCATTTGGCAAACATAGCCCAGCACCATCAGCTGCAAGCTTTAGGGAAAACTGAGTGAGGGGCGTACCGTCTTGGCAATTTTTCTGTAAATCTTAAAACTTCCACAGTCAAAAACTGGGTTGAAACAACAGTTGGGGCGTGGTGGCTCACGCCTGTAATCCCAGCACTTCAGGAGGCTGAGATGGGTGGATCACCTGAGGTCATGGGTTTGAGACTAGCCTGGCCAACGTGGTAAGACCTCGTCTCTACTAAAAATACAAAAATTAGCTGGGTGTGCTGGTGGGCACCTGTAATCCCAGATACTCGGGAGGCTGAGGCAGGAGAATTGCTTGAACCCGGGAGGCGGAGGTTGCGGTAAGCTGAGATCACACCATTGCACTCCAGCCTGGGGAACAAGAACAAAACTCTGTCTCAAAAAACAAAACAAAAAAAACCTGGAGGCTGGTGTGATCGTGACTCAGGGGGCTGCTTCTTGAGCGAGGTGTTGGGGAGATCCCTAAGTGAAGGAAAGGCTGTCACAGGCTTTTTATGGGGGTCAGTAGGGGAAGGACAAGCTGGGGGCACTTTGGGACTTGGGGCAGCTGGAGAGAGTGAGGCTGGGGAGGCCAGAGGCAAAGTGTGGTTAGCGAGGTGCCCACCCACCCTCAGCAGGGCCCTCCGAATTGCCAGTGGGGTCTCCTCTCCCAGCTGGGGAGCCAGGACCAGATGCCCATCTATCCAGCCCACAGGTCATGAGTGAGGGCGCCCTGGGGACCGCAGCTTCCCCGACTCCAATGGAACGCCCTCTCCAGGCCTCAGCTGTTTCACCTATGGCCCCGCTTGTTGACAGCCATGGGGTTGATGTGGAGATGGGACATCTGAGTCCTAGGTTAGCCCCGAAACTCTGTGTAGGGCAGGCTGGAGCTGCTGCGACATCCTGGGAACTCCCTCCAGGGCCAACTGCTAGCTCTGGCTAACCCTCTGAGGATTACTTTTGGCGGTGGCTTGCGTTGCCCGGGCCAGCTGAGGAATGGGGTGGCTGAGCTACCACCTGAGGCTTCCTGGGTTCTAATCTTAAGTGCTTGTACAGCTTCGAGACGGGCCTGTCACCTGGCTTGTGAAGTCAGCTGTGGGTGGGGGGGGGCAGCAGCGTTCATTTATTCATTGCCTCATTCACCCCCTCCCGTCTTTGTGGACCTGGAGATTTCGACGTCCGGCACAGCTGAGCAATGGGCCCTGGGCTGGGTGCCGGGTTCATGGAGCTCATCCGCAAGGTCTCAGTGGTTTTGGGAGCACAGCATGGTGGGGGGCGGGGTGATGACACTCGGGTGAGGGATGCACAGGGGACTGTGACGTGGTGATGATGTTGCCTGCAGTGCACTGGCATCTGGCAGTTCTTCCAGGTGAGGCCGGAGGTCCCACCACCCTGGGACCCCAGAGAAAGGAGGACCCTGCTCCCAGGGGCTCCAGCCAGACCAAGGAGGACAGGTATCTCCCGCAGACTCAGGAGTCCCTGTGCCTACCCTCTTGCTGGAGCATTCACTGAAAGGACCCCCTAGAAGCCGTTTTGTTTATGCTTATAGTTTATTACAGCGAAAGGATACATTAAAATCACCCAAGGGAGGCTGGGTGCGGTGGCTCATGCCTGTAATCCCAGCACTTTGGGAGGCTGAGGCGGGCAGATCTCTTGAGGTCAGGGGTTCAAGACCAGCCTGGCCAACATGGTGAAACCCTGTCTCTACTAAAAATACAAAGATTAACTGGATGTAGTGTTGTACACCTCTAATCCCAGCTACTCAGAAGACTGAGGCTGGAGAATAGGCAGAGGTTGCAGTGAGCTGAGATTGTGCCACTGCACTCCAGCCTGGGCGACAGAGCGAGACTCCCATCTCAAAAAAAAAAAAAAAAGTCAAGGGAAATGGCAGATGGGCAGGGTCCAGGAGAGACCAGGCTGGAGCGTCCAGTCAGCCCCTTGCGTGAGTAGTGCCTATAATTCTCCCGGCATGGAGCACTGCTAGCCACAGAAGCTCCCCCAGCCTGCGTGTCCAGGGTCTGTCCTGGGGGCTGGCCCTGTAGAATTGGCTGACCACACTCATGGCCAGCCTCAGTCTTTAGTTCCACAGTGTAAGCAGCCTCTGCCATGGCCCCAGGCCCCAGGCACACAATGACATTCTTATCAGGCAGGATATTCTCCTGCAGGTCACCTCCCAGGAGCTGGGGACAAAGGCCAGACCTCTCTTTGGGATAGGTTAACCCTTTACTGCACAACTCCTCATGCAAAACCAAGAATGAGCACGGGGTTCCCCAGAAGAAGAGCCCGGGCGTGGTGCCTCACACCTGTAATCCCAGCACTTTGGGAGGCCAAGGCGAGCAGATCACTTGAGGTCAGGAGTTTGAGATCAGCCTGAGCAACATGGTGAAAAACCCCATCTCTACTAGAAATACCAAAAAAAAAAAAAAAAAAAAAAAATTGGCCAGGCCTGGTGGCTTGTGGCTGTAATCCCAGCTACTCGGGAGGCTGAGGCAGGAGAATCACTTGAGCCCAGGAGGTGGAGGTGGCAGTGAGCCGAGATGGCACCAACGTACTCCGGTATTCCAGCTTGGGTAACAGAGCGACACTCTATCTCAGAAAAGAAAAGAGTCCCCACTCAACATCCACTCCTGGTCCAAAGCCTGAGTGCCTCCAGCAAAGTGTACGGGAGCTGGGTATCGCGGGAAAGGCTTGAACAGAGATGGAGCTTGGGAACCATGGGAGTTCTGTGTCTCCCCAGTCCTGTCAATCGTCCCTGCATGCCAGGCTTCCTGTGGGCTGGGGACATGGTGTGAACAAAGCCAGTTCAAGGAGTTCTTGCTCCTGAGGTCTGGCCTCCTAGAGCTGGTGGCTCAGCCCGTGTAGAAAGCGCGTGTGGCATGAGTACCTGCTGTGTGTCACATGCCGTGTGTCCCTCTTATACCTGCCTGTAGCACTCTAGGTGGGAGACACATGTCCACGAGGGGTCACAGCCTCTGGGGCCACGTGGTCTGTGAGAAGTGGATGTAGCACAGGTTTCTGCCATGCTGCTTGGACACAGAAGGGGGCAGAGAAGGTCACGGGAGGCCACAGGTGACCCGTACCCAGGTAGGCGTGGGGTGGGAGCTGTGGGGTCCCCACCCTCCACCTCCTCCCCTTGCCACAGCCTGGAGCTGGGCTGTTTCATCTGGTATGACTGCTGGGAGGGACACTGTGGGTGTTCATGGTGGGTGTGTCTGGCCAGCAGCCACCAAGGGCTCCCAGCACAGACCCTGGGTCAGAACCCCAGGCCCTTGAGAGCCACCCGAGAACGAACATGGTTAATCTTACCATGGGCTCCACTACAGCTCACAGGAAACAGCTGTTTACCTGGGCGAGGTGCTCCACCGGGCAGGCAGCCAGTAGTTCCCGGGCTTCACTTCCGCCTCCGGTATCCACGGCCCCCCAGGAAGCTGGGGCGGTGGGGCGGCCAGCTCTCCATGCACCGCCAGGAGCTGTTTGTAAGGAACGAGTCAGCCTTGTTGTGTACACAGTATCCACCCTAGCAACAGGCCCTGCCGGGCCAGAGCGGACAACCGCCCCTCCCTCCTGCCTGCCCAGCCCCCACCTCTCCTCACGGTGGCTGCCTCCCCCGGTCTCATGGTGGGCGTCACAGACCAGCATCCCTAAGGGCCTCGGTCCTGCCACCTGGGGCAGAGTCCTCCATTCCCAGCGAATCAACATTAGCCCCCGTGAGGGGTAGGAGGCCAGGTCCCAGCCCTGCTCAGAGTCAGCCTGGCCGGTCAGGGAGCTCCTGGCCCCTGGTTCTGAGCCCCAGTGCCATCAGGGAGTGGGTAGCAGGAATGCAGCTGAGATGAAGGTGCCCAGCTGGGCCCAGCCCCCGAGAGGCCGAGGAGGACCACGTGGAAGGAACATGGGGCTAAGGACCCCCTAGAACTCAAGCTGGGTCTGGGGGACTGGCGTGGCTGCCCTGGCCCTCTGTGGGCTCGTCGGGATCGCCAGTCCTTCCCTTGGAAGGCCATTACCGTGCTTCTGAGGCCGCCCTCCGACTCAGGCCATTGGAAAGCCGCCTGGCCTGTCAAGTCACAGCTTCCGGCCGTGATAAGAAATGGCATCCCCTGGTCCTCAGAACTTCTGCCTAGATGCTGTTGATTCCACCGCTTGGGTCTTTTTATGTCTTTGGGGCTGGCGCTCCGGATGAACCTGGGAGTGACCCCTCCCGCAGCTGCCGGCTTCTCTCTCGCAGCTCCAGCTCCAGAAATCCCAGTACCTGCAACTGGGCCCGAGCCGCGGCCAGTACTACGGCGGGTCCTTGCCCAATGTGAACCAGATTGGGAGTGGCACCATGGACCTGCCCTTCCAGGTGAGTGCCCCACCCCCGGCCCTGCCCCCCTTAAGAGGAGCTTCTCCCCAGCCTCCCACCGGGGACCAGACATTGCAGACAGCTGGGGTCACCAGACAGTTGCCAGAGCCCGCCCCACCTGTACCTTCTCCTTTTCTGTCCTGGGAACTGGAGGAAGCAGAGCGACCCCATCAGGATGCACCAGGATCCCCCCAGCCCGTTCCCCATCAGCAGACCCCGACGCTGGCCCTCCATCTGGCCTCCAGCATTTCGGCAGCCACTACACCTGTTGGCCGGCTGTGCAGCAGCGGGAACCGCTTGGGGCCGCTGGGACTTGGCTCTGTCCTGCCTCACTAATCCGCAAGCCCAGCAATTCTCAGAAGGAGGCCCAGCGGCCTGACCCCACTTGTCTGCAAACGTTTCTTGGCAGAGGCCCACACAGCGCGGCTCCCGCAGGCTGCTCGACCGCCGTGCACAGCCTTATCATAAACAGGAGATACGGCCCACAGCAGTCCTCTCCTCTGTCCCTGGTCTACGGGTGGAAACGGGGATGGGGTAGGGTCAAGGGAGCTGGCCTGTGAGTCAGGGCCACCCCCAAGACGGTGTCTGGGCTCCACATGGACAGGTCCCCCTGGGGGTCACACATACTCTATGGCTGAGAAAACCACCTCGGACACAGCCATGGCCACTGCCAGGCTAGATGGAGCCGAGCCCTCTCCCGCGTCTCCCACCAGCTCCACCCCCACCTGCACCGCTGCTGGACAGGGCAGGGGTCCCTGGGCTGGCCCCAAGGGGCATCTCTCCAGCATATACTGAGAGCAGGCCGTCACTGATGCTGGGCGTGCTTCCAGACCAGGCTTTCTCCCCTCCTGCCCTTCTCTCCCTTCCTGTTTCTCCTGTCCCCTCTTCCCTGGAGGAGAGTCTCTCTGGGCATCTCCCAAGCTCAGTCTGAGTGGGGCCAAGGGGCACAGCACCCTGTTGGGTGCTTGTCGCCCGAGGCCCCCAGCCCTGGGGGGTCCCACACGTTCCATCTTCGGGGCCAGGCGAGGCAGCAACGTCTCAAAGTCTCGGTTCTTTGCATTTTCAGCCCAGCGGATTTCTGGGGGAGGCCCTGGCAGCGGCTCCTGTCTCTCTGGTAAATGAGCCCCCAGGCTGAGGCCGAGGCGTCCCCGGCGCCAGCCTGCAAGACCCCGACCCGCGTGCGGGCGCTGGGGATCTCTGAGCTCCCCGAGCGGCCGCCTCTGCGGCTCCCAGGGAGGTGGAGGTGTCCCGTCCGCCAAATGGAAATGGATCCACTCCGCACCCCCATCTCGGGAAGTGCGTATGGTCGCGTCGAGAGGCCCCGGGGACTCTTGGGGTCCATCTGGGGCAGATGCCACAGCCGCGCAGCCCCATCTGGGGTCCAGCAGAGCAGAATCCAAGCATGTGCCCCACAGCTGCATGGTCCGTCCCTACACACACACAAGCACCCACGTGCGCACGCGTCTCGCAAGCCAGGCCAGCAGGCAGGACCTGGCAAGCCAAGGCGTGGCCAGCCCCTGCTTCATTCCGCCTCTGACGCTGCTTCGGCTGCCTCAGTTTCCCCTCTGGGCTTCAAGGCATCTCTGGAAGGAGATGAACGGCCCCTGCCCTCGGGAGCCCATGCGTTGGATGGTGCAGTTCCCACCCTCGTTGCCACAGGCGCCTGTCTCCCGTGCCCACAGCCTTTTGGGAGCAAGAGCCACAGAAAGACCCAGACCAGCAACTTCATGCTGGATTGAAGACAGACTTGGGGGTCCCAGGCAGACCAGCAACTTCATGCTGGATTGAAGACAGGCTTGGGGGTCCCAGGGCTGGGGATGGCAGTCAGCCCTGAACTCTGGCCCGGGCTGGGACAGAGCAGCAATCCCAACCATGTACAGGCTTCTGGAGGGGAGACTCACTTCAGTGTGAGTCACTTTTTGCCCGGCTGCCTAGAGAAGGCACAAGGGCTCAGGGGCCAGATGGCCAGGCTGGGGATTGGCTGCGTCCAGAGCTGGCAGAGGCTGCCGATCTCACCCCGGTCAGATGGCGAGTGGGCAACACAGGGTCAGAGCAGGCTCCTGGCAGCCGCAGGGGCATGAGGCTGGGCATGGAGCAGGGCCTGGGGAGGGGCGGCCCGGTGCCAGCCCCAGGTGCTGGGAGGAGCCCCGTCCAGCCAAGCAGTAGGCCTTGGCTCCAGAAAGTGCCTGTACTTGGCTCTGGTGGTGCCTGGAGGAGGCAGTAGGGGAGAGCGCGTGGGGGCTGTGTCTCAATCAAGAGCAGCCCTGGGTTCCACAAGGAAGCCTCCTGGGAACTCGAGCTTGGCCAGGTGGGCCCCGAAACAGTCCTGGGCTGGAAGTCCCTGGGCTGTCTCTTGGCAGCCCCTCCAGGGATGACGTAGGTGGGGGTAAGAGGCCGGCCAGGCCCAGAGAGAGAGGGCGGAGGCGTCTACACCTGGTAAGGCTGGGGAGGAGGGCTGCCCAGGCCGGCTGCACCCCTGGCACCTGGCGGGCGCTGGCCGCGAGCTTGTGCCGCTCTGCCTGGCCTGTGCATGCCAGCCGCACTGCACGCCCCTACCGCCCTGGCTCCTGGGACCCTGGCTCACACCCCCCCCGCCCCCCAGTGCTTGGAGAGCTGGGGAGCTGGGGCTGAAGAAAGAAGCCCATCCTAGGCTGCGGAGCAATGGCTGAGGGTGTTCCAGAGTGGGGGGCCCTGTGATCAAACTCGGGGGGCAGCGCTAGGGCCACAGCTGGTAACCATTGTTTGGGTTTTTCTCTCTCTGTTTCCATCTCCTCCTACCCCAGACCCCCTTCCAATCCTCGGGCCTGGACACCAGCCGGACCACCCGGCACCATGGGCTGGTGGACAGGGTATACCGGGAGCGCGGCCGGCTCGGCTCCCCGCACCGCCGGCCCCTGTCAGTGGACAAACATGGACGGCAGATATCCTTTTCCCCAGAAGACGAGGGTGGGAGGCCAGGCCCTGCTGGTGCTGGCAGGTTCTGACAGGGCTCCCTGCTTCCAGCTCTGGGGACAGAATCGACAGCACCGACTGGGAGGCTTGATCTCACAGCAGCCTGGGAGGACATCCTGGAAGGGGACATGTCACAAGAATAGAGCCTTTGGCCAGACTTGGGGGCTTGGGGGCACAGGGAACAGCTCCCAAGACAAGAGCTAAAGAAGGTGACACCTGAACACAGAGGGCTTAGACACCTGGCGGGGCAGTGGGGCCAGGAAGGCCGTGAGCAGGGAGCCCATCGTCAGGGCTGTGAGCTGAGGCAGTGGGGCTGGGGGGTCTCTGTGAGACCCAGACACGTCCGAGGGAGGCTCCGTCTCAATGACAGGAGTAACATTCGCCTCTGTGACTCGGTCAGGCAGAGATTGGCCAGAGTCTCCCCTCCACCCCCAACTCAGCCGCCCCTTGGTGCTCAGCCAGCCAGGCCCCCCAACACCAGAGTCTGAGCGGCCTCAGGTTGCTCCTGGGATCCCCTGGCTCTCCAGAACAGAGAAGCTTGTTCTCCGGTTCTCATTTCCGTGGACTGGGGGAGCTCAACCAGCTGGGCCCCAGACTGAGCCCTCAGGCCCCGGGAGCCGCCCCGTCAGCCCAGGATGGAGAGTCCAGACCAGGGTCAGCTGAACCCAGACTCCCCAGCGCCCCCATGGGCCCTACTGTCACGGCCCAGAACCCCCTCCCTTGGAAGGGGTGTAGCCTGCACGTGCGCTCATGGAGCAGAGTGCTGAGTGCTAGGTGGACAGGGCCATACCCCTGGGGAGCCCCTGAAACGGGGGCTGCTTGCAGTCAGGCAGGAAAGGCCGGCAGGAAACACCCCCCCCACCCCCCGCCCCACCGTACTGGTCCCAGCTGTTTGCAGGCCCTGGGACGAACCAGCCGGGGGGCTTCCTGCCCTGGGCTGAGTGTTGGTGGAGGCGGGGTCTCAGCCAGCGGCACTGCCCCCTTAACTCATGTTCACGCCGACAGCTGCCCCTACGGCACCGTGTACCTCTCGCCACCCGCGGACACCAGCTGGAGAAGGTCAGTGGCTGAATCCTCCCGCCCCCTTCTTGTTGGAAACAAAGCCAAACTCTCGTCACGGTTACACGTGGAAAAGCAGGACACAGTTTCTTAAAAAATGACCAAACTAAGATGCATCCAGAAGTTTCTAGAAATTAGCCCTCAACCTGAAACACAGGAGTTCCAGGTTTGGTGGGGGAGTCTTCTAATATTTCCCCCTCTCGCCATTTATGACTTTCAAAAAACAAAAGTGGGACCAGGCATGGTGGCTCATGACTGTAATCCCCGCACTTTGGGAGGCTGAGGCAGGTGGATCAGGAGTTCAAGACCAGCCTGGCCAACATGGTGACACTCCTTCTCTACTAAAAATACAAAAATTCACCAGATGTAGTAGTGCATACCTGTAATCCTGGCTACTCTGGAGGCTGAGGCGGGAAGATGGCTTGAACCTGGGAGGCAGAGATTGCAGTGAGCTGAGATCAAGCCACTGCACTCCAGCTTGGGTAACAGAGCGAGTCTCCATCTCAAAAAAAAAAAAGTAGGATGATACTGCATATTCAGCACTGTAGCCTGCTCTTTCCCGTTTAATGCTGTGTTCAGAGCAGTTACCCATGTTACTCAGCAGCCACTGAAAATGTGATGATCAAATTATTATTATTTTTTTTTAAGATGTTACCCAGGCTGGAGTGCAATGGCGCGATCTCGGCTCACCGCAACCTCTGCCTTCTGGGTTCAGGCAATTCTCCTGCCTCAGCCTCCTGAGTAGCTGGGATTACAGGCATGTGCCACCATGCCCAGATAATTTTTTGTATTTTGTGTAGATATGTATATATCGAGACCAGGATGGTCTCAATCTCTTGACCTCGTGATCCACCTGCCTCGGCCTCCCAAAATGCTGGGATTACAGGCGTGAGCCACCGCGCCCAGCCCAAATTATTATATTAATACGTTTAGGATGGAAGATGAGGAAAAGACAGGCCAGGTACCGTGGCTCATGC